ACCTGAAGTGGCGGGTTACTGATCTTGGGTTCAGCACCAGGCTTCACATCAACGGGGCTCACAGTCACTATGCGGCCATTCAGGTTCAGGTGCGGGCCGGGGGGTGGCGTATCAGCGGCAATGATCCACTTGCTTGGCCCCGATGCTCGGACAGCTTTTGCATCCCATCCAAGTTTGGACAGGGTCTGGGTCAACTCATGCTTATTGGTCTGGGTGTCCAAGTGATTGAGTTGCCACAAGTCACCATGTGGCGGGGCAGCCTCGCCATCTAGGATGATGGACTCCGGGGAGATTTTCCTTCGGAGGGACACCAGGTCAGCCCGCTTGCATCTGAGGCCGTACTGCCCATTGTATTCAACAATACCCATGGCTCCTGTACAGGTGGCTGCCGTTGCCAAAGCCCAAGCCCCGTGCAGACCGATGACTGCGAATTGCTGGTCAGGTCGGTGCTGGGAATCTTTGGCAATGAGAAAGATACCCGCCCTGCCGGAACGTGGGAGCACTTTCTCAAGCAGTTCCTGCTTGACTCTCAGGTAGCCATGCAGGTAGGAGCTGGCCGCAAAGGGTTTCTTCTGTCTGGCATCACCAAAGGCATTGACGGCCCATTTGGCCAGGACTTCACCCTCCCTGAGCTCTGGCAGGTGCACTCCCAAGTAATGCATCGGATCCTGGACATCCGTCCAGTTTGGCACCTGCTTCCTTCGGATGAAAAACTCAAGCACCGCTGATGCAACTTCAGTGACGGTACCCTCAGGCATCTTCATCTGGCACACTACTGGAACGTCTCCAAAATTGTGCAATTGCATGGCCACAAGAATGGGTCTGCCCAGTGCATCATGTGCTGGCCCCAGGAATTGATCGGGCACATTCAGGGCCAGTCCTCCATCAACAGCAAGTATGGCAAGTGGGTCGGCACTGATGCGTCTGGCCGGCAAGTGGTGGACTGCCTGATCCCTAGCGGTGATCATCAACCCTGCACGGTCGGGCCCAAAGCCGCTGGGGTCAAGGGACACAACAGATTTTCCACCTGCAGTGAAATGCTTCAGGTCAATTTTGATCTTCGAGAGATCAACTTTCAGGTCAACATCGGCGGCCTCCGGGACCACTTTACTGCTGGAGGGCTTTTTGGGGTTAACAGACAAGCTGCTCGAGGCACGTTGGGTCTTCTGCCACTGCTTCAGCTCATGGTTGGTGATGAGCCGAATGTGCTTGTCACTCGCGGCTTTCTTCAGCTCAGCCCACGGATTGTGTCCCTTCAACATGGCACGCAGATCCTCATTGGCAATGTGCGCCATGATGTGCGTCACCCTTTCATCCAGATTCGACTCGGGGACTCCCCTGGTTACCAACTCCTGCTTGAGCTGTTTCTTAATGTCATCGGCACCCTTGGCGCCCCCTGGCAAAGGGCATGCTCGCACGGCAATGACATCTGGGATCTGCTCAACTCGGGTGCGAGGGTCGGTGTGCTTGCCCCCAGCGATTGTCAGCAGGGTTTGGGTTGACGTGCAAGGTGCCAAAAACGATGCTGCAAGCTGCATCAGGGACCACTCAGCTGGCACCTGGATTTCGCTGGCTCGAACGGCAAAAGGGGACTTGACCCATCGCATGATGTATCGATTGGCGGCGCAGCTCACAGGCTTGATGCCTTTGGACGTGTTACACAACTCCAGGAATGCCACATCTATAGGGGGGTACAGCTTAGGTGAGCTTAGGATGATCTGCACCCCTCCTACCTTCATTGCCTGCCCAAGGGTCATGGCTCCCGCGGGTTCGCAGCCCTTGATGGCAACAGTGATCTGGCAACGTGCAACCATATCCGGCAGCAGTGGTGCAATCAGGTCGGCAAGAAGGGCATCCTGTCTCCTGCAAATCGTTCTCACAGTCGCCCAAACCGGGTGTCGGATTGCCAAGCGCACATGGGATTCAGTGGCCTTTATGCCTACATCAGAATGAAACGGCGGCACTTGCAGCGATGCGGCAATGTCACAGGCGACCATTGGCTTGGGGAATGCACCGACAATCGGGTGTGGGATGAGCATGTAGTCAGTGTCAGGCAGGGACAAGACAAAAGCAGCTGGGCTTGGGCAACCATCCTTGGCATCAATCCAGAAACACTGGGGCAAAACCTTCAGGTGTGGTGTGCACACACGAATGCTTTGAGGTCCTGGAAGGTCCATGTAGCGTCAACATCAACTTGAATGGGCAACTTCTGGAATTCAGTTGAAATGGTCCGTCGAAACTTTCGCATCCCCAAGACTACACAAAAACTGGTCAGTGTTGCCGGGACACTGGATAGCACAGCCTGCTGTCCATTGATGACAAATGATCGCAGGTGCTCGGCTTGCAGGTGAGGCAGGGCACTCTTGGCAATGCATGACGCGGTGAGGCCATGCTCGGTCCATCCAGCAAAACCCCAGGACCCTTCGTCAGTGGTAACCCTCAAAGGGACAGCACGGGCAGTTTCCTCGGGAGGGACGTCCCAGATTTCCTCAAGCCTTGGATTAGCAACATTGACGGGCCAGAACCCCTGCGGCATACTGAGTCTGTGGGTGAGCGCGGTGCCTTCATGGATGCGCGGGTTGTCCCGTGACTCTTGGGCAGGTGCATATCCTGGTTTGAAGACCCAGGTTGTCTCCTGTAGCAAACGGCATCGATCAGGATCACTTGGGCCCTTGGATGGCCCGCACACCATTTGATCCACGCCACCAGCCCACTCAGGGACAGAGGAAAACCCAACATGCATCTGGCTGCACCGTCCTTCACAGACTTCTGACCCGGGTGTTGTCGGCTCCCCACTGGTCTCAGACACATCTCCAGCAACCATGCATGGCAGCAGGATGTCTGCTTTCTTCTCGGTATGTTGATCAATGTGGGCAGTGCTTGACGCCGGTTGGGCATCATGGGTCACACGATCAACAAGCACGGCAGGGTGTCCTTGCCTTTTCTTTGTTGGGTGCGTCGGGGCCACACTCGGCCTGGGGCGCTTGCCCCCTGGATTGTGCTTGGGGGTATCCTCACATGACGACGGTATGGCCTGTAGGACGTACATGTCCTCCTCCAGTACAACCCGGACTCCTGACAGGTGCATTCTCTGCTTGGAAAGCTGGGACACACACTCCGACAGCAAACACAGAGGCGAAACCGGCGAAAGCTCACCCAGGAGGAGGTGGGTGCGATACACTTGCAGCAGTGCGTGATGCACCGAAATCATGTTCCCAGTGAACCTCCATGCACTAGTCATGTCCTTGGGGATGGCCAGCTTGGGTTCACAACCCATGGCAGCAGCAAATTCCCATGGTGAGAAAAACCTCACTCCCTTGCCATCATCCAACAACGTGGTGTGCAGGCCTTTCTCCCTCAGGTGGATCTCAGGTAACGTGTGCTGCTTGCCGTATGATGCCATGACTCCAACAAGGGGCATTTCAGCCGTCCTGACACGACATTTGAGCGCAGCCTGCGGGGCAGCATCCTCGGATGTGTCAAGCCTTTTTTTCATGGAAACAGGCAGGAACTGCGGGTCACACAAGAGGACCATGGCTTGGGCATCAGGGATCAAATTCCGGCGCTCACTTTGGCTGAGATTGATGTGCACACAATCAAGGGCCCTCATAGAATTGCTCTGGGCGGCTCCCTTTGTGGGCAACGCCAACGCATTCGCCATACGCACGGCCTCCGGTCGCACTGCAATCCTTTCAGAAATCCAGGTTCCCAACCATCTTTTCCTGACCAGAGGTGTACAAGGATCACATCGGTCTACCGAATGCTGCTGCAAGACAAAACCATGCTGGCTGGCCTCTTTGACAATGGTGTGGAAATCGGGATGCTCCCCAAAACCCGGGACATTTTCCATGGTGATGGAGGTCACCCCTGTCTTCTTAGCCATGATGAGGGTATCCAGAGCTAGCCGTCCATCCTCACAAGACAGACCTGGCTGACATCCAGCGGACGACCATGGCGGGCATGGCGGTGAGACACACCAATGCCCAATATTGCAAAGTCCTGCAATCATCCAGACCACCGGATCTCTCATATCTGCAAGGAGCACAAAAGCCCTTGGCAAACAGTGTGCGGCTGCAGCATACATGGCGATCGGAGTCGGATACACCACAAGGCCAAAACGTTTGGCACAGGCTTTGGCCGTGACCTCGTCCTTCTCCACCATAATTGCAGTGTCGCCCTTCGGCTTGAGCAGCTTGAGAGCTGCTGACCAGTTACCACTTCCTGCAAAGCCCTCAGCAATGTTCTGGACCGTACCAGGAACAGGGTGAAAAAGGACCAGCGAACCATTCCGGTGTGCCACAAAGAGCAGCATGCGATCATCCTCCATCTTCATCTCGTACTCCACCAAAGTGGCATGGCGCCCCTGGACTGCACCAGGGAAAAGCCACTTGGGCAGGACCACCACCACCGGGAGGGACTCCCCCTCGTTGCACGGGAAGCCTTTTTTCCAGGCACCCTCCACCAGCTCCCTAAGAAGCTTCACCTCCACATCTCCTCCACTTCGGAGCACGGCACCCACCATGCCCTGACCACTCCATTGCAGCATGGGGATCTGCTGAAGCCTACCCGCGACTGGGACGCTCCCCTCGACCAAAAAAAGGCTTTCGACCAGTGGCTATGGGGGAACAACATGCTATTGGGTGTTGATCAATGTTCCCGGACCTCATATTAGGCAACTGTTCCCACGAGGGAACGTCATCGTTTGGTGGGTGTTCCCTGCTGATTCCAGATAATGTTGACCCCTGAATAGTACATTCCCCCCCACCCCCCCTCCCCTTTTTAGTGGGGAGTCCAAACAATATCAGCCAGGATTTTTTGTTGTTAACCCCCCCCCCCCAAAAAAAGAACAAACATAATAAAAATAAAAATATCGCTTCATTGGTGTATAATGTTTATACCCCCCCCCCCCCGCCCGACCAAGACAAAAGGATACCTTCGCTGCGAGCCACGGGGCCTCCCCCCCGAAAATCCGCCGAAAAAATCGATCCATTTCGAGGCGCGGTAGAAGCTCACCGCCGCGGGGTGGTGGATGATGAGCCCCAGCGCCACGGAGATGCAGAAGAGCGTGATGAAGACTCGCACCTGGAGAAGCTGCAAGCTGCGGGCTGGGAGCATGGGAAGGGACTTGTTAAAATGACAAAACTGGCTTATCACAAAGACAACTGGCTTATCAAGGTTGGAACTGACTTTTTGCTAAGAAGAAAACATCCTGGTGTATCAATAGGGGATGCCCCTTTGGGGGCAAAATGCTAGTGCAGTCATAGGGGATGTCCGAGAACGCGTGAACGTCCTGGAACCCTCGTTTCTGAACCAAAAGTCGGAAGCTCAGGTGGTCTCAGGACCTTGGACCCCTCCGCCTCCCTTTGAACCCCAAAGCCTTGGCCGGAGACTCCATAGCTTTCAGCTGTTGGGTTTATGCATAGGCGGTGTCTCTCCTTTGGTGGGGATTCATCATCTAACGGAAAAAGCGGAAGCAGAGTGCGGAAGGAAGGCCTCCTTCTGCTAGCAGTTGATTTCACAGGGAATGCAGGGAACAGCTGGCCTGGGAAACTCAAGGCTTTCGGGTCGGACAAACCAGCCCGCCAAAGCTGGGCTGTGCGCGCCAGTTTCCAGGTCCCCATGGCTTGTAAGCCCTCGGGCTCACTTGGTCACGATTTGCCTTCGGAGCAGCGATTATTTATCAACAATCATGCGGAGCCCTTACCGAGAGCTGGCCGACGAATGCCTTTTTCAGGCACCCGCCCGGGACACAAACGTGGACCGAACCGACTTTAGCCACTTGAGGCGGCACCAAATATCCTTGAAAGTGCTCAGCAGGGAATGAGGGAATGACCTTTTTTGGGAATGTTCTGGGTTCATTCAACCACGTTCCCTACCGATTTCGCACCAGCAAGAAATACGGCCGGGTTCTGGACGGCACTGCCGATGCGTTGTCTTTCCTAAAGCGATGAGAAACGTTTGAAACTGCCCGAAATCGATGCCCTGGAAGTATTTCGCCACTTGCTCATATATTAGATGTGTTGCTTTTTGCGGGTACCTTGCTTACCGGTTTCAGAGGTAAACCGAAAAGAATCCAACTTATTTTTTGGTGGTCCCCTAAAAACGGATATGAATTTACCACCCAAGCTCTCGCTGGCGTCGCCTGCTCTGGTGGCTCGCAGAGGAAGAACGGCTGCAGGACTTCTTGGGAATCCGTGCACCTGGGCACCAAGCTGATGGATGGCTTGTCGGACTCTACAACTGGATTTTCTGAGTGACTGGCCAAAAACAGTAATCAAACTTTCGGGTTTGCCACTCAAACCTGCATGGTCTACAATATGTCCGAAAGCTGAAACAAGAGAACCCCCAAGTAAAGGGTCTTTACCATGGTGAGCTCGTTTTACCCCCGGATCGGTGAGCTTGTCATAAATTACTGCAGACAAAAATGGCCCAAACCCAGAAAGTGACTACAGTCCATTAGCTCAGGGAGTAAGACTCAGCAAACAAGACTAGAGTACCTTGTAGCCATTAGGAAGGGATGATACAGTGTCTGGTCATTGGCCTACCTCACTGGGTTGGATGTCGACTGTGCAAATGCTGGGGCTGTTCTCTGAGTTAATGTCAACAACCAGCTGGTGTGCGTGTGGTTTGTCAGTTTGCTCAACTGCTCATCGAGCAAGTTTGCCTAAATCAGGATCTCCAGATGCACTTGAAAACATGTAAACTCCAAAACCGTTTCCCGGGGCCTGGAAAGACCATCAGCGCCTGCTCCCACTGAGCTTTAGGTGCACGCACGCGGGGTGTGGGAAGCGGGAGGGCAGGGAAAGGGCAATCGGGCAACGCTCACCATGCAAATCATCTCTACTCTTGGTATGGTAGCAAAAAACTTTGTTTTTTGCAGACCCCCAGTAAAAATGAACAGAACCAAAAAACTAAAAAACAAAAAAAACATGCCAAGAACAGTGAAGAAATCACTGCTTCTGGCCCGAGAGTCCCTCGTGTCCAGGCCACTAGCAGTCATTTTCAGGCGGTCATTTTCCGGATGTCCTTCTTCAGCTGCACAGGTGTGCTTGCCGTGCAACGGGCTCGAGTCACCCAAGCTCGTTTTCTTTTTCGACGACGGTTTGCCGTCGTTCGTTTGGCCGGAGAGCCAAGAGAAGCCCCAAGATCTGCAGCTAAAATCGATCACATGGCGCAATTTCCCACACGGAATGATTTGGAGTGGCCCGGTCCTTTTGGCTTGCAAAGGGGGCCGAAGGAACAGGGATCCTTACATGAAAAACACCTGAACATTGCCTTGTAAATTGTAGTTTCCCTGTATTTTGGTGGAAAAAGCCATGTTTCAAGTGGGTAAAATGGGGGGGCCACCTGAGATCCCGGCACTGCGTCCGATGCAATGAGAACATCCTCTGAGCGTCGGTACCCGCTTCTGAAGCCTGCAGAACGCGCTTCGCCGATGCCGGACGGCCCTTCAAGCTACACAAAAACCGCCCCTCAGCACTTTGGCCAACCCAAGAAATAGGGCCAAACAAGGCCTTAACAGTGGGGGGGGCTTTGGGGAGGTGGCTTGCAGGCTTGGTGCTCGTTGGCCCAAGATACTGGGCTGCTTCGGTTTATATTTATTTAGTCTTATTATCATTTATTGCTACATTTATAGCATATGATATTACAAGTATGTTATTTGTTGTTGTATCTATTTTTTGTTTTGACTTGTTTAACTAATATTAATATTCAAACACATGTCGTTTATATTTAAACTGTCATAAAGGAGGAGGTCATAAATGTGTTTTATCGTATTTTAGATTTTACATATCAAAAGACATTACTTCAGTTGAATATGATCCTAACAGATCAGGATGTATTGGTAAAGTTTTAGATAGTAAAGTGTATTATTCATTATTGCCTGGTTGGTGATATCTGACACCGGTGACAGGCCCTCGGGGCTTCTAGTGTAGCTTTTTGGGGGACCGGTCCCAGGACTGGTCCCAGGACCGGTCCCGCACACCACAACTGAAACCAAGTGCTGAATGTGGCTCAAGTGGATGTCTTGTTTGGAGTTGGTACCCCTTGTTTGGACGGTTTCAAAGGGAAACCCGAAGGACATCAACCGTTGATTGATTTCTTTTTGGGGCGGTCCCTTAAAAAGGGACACACCCACACCCAAATGCGACAACTTGAAAGAAATGCTTGAAACGCGACCCAGCTTGGGGCAAATCAAGGTGTGTGCGCGGTATGTGGGAGTTAGCCGCGCGGCCACGACTTGTTGTTCTGCCGCGTGGCATGAAGATACAACCCAATAGAAGTCAAACCCTGCCTGTAAGGCATCCAAGTACTGCGTGAGAATTTGCTTCACCTATAGGAGGCACCAGAAAAACCTCATTTTGTTTCCGAAGTCACGGCCATCCAGCCCCGCAAGTCCAGATGCGGCTTGGCGCCCAAAACAATGGAAATCCCAGCCGCAGGAAAGGAATAAGGTTTTGGATGACCAAAGCTCCCATTTGTGAAGTGTTTCGTCTCTCAATCGCCTGCCCACGCTCCCCAAACAACTGGGTTCTCAAACTAGAGGCACCCCCCAAAATGGCACCAGGGAAACGTGGCCTCCCTCTACAACTCATTCAAAAGAGGGTTCCTCCCCCCCAAAAAAAAACACACCCAGACGTAAGGAGCTTGGGGGCCGTGGCCCGGGCCCCCTTTGGGCCTGCGCTGCCCATGGCTTCCCAAAGGACGCGATCGGCCACTTGAGCCCACACCGCCTCTCGGAGAAAGAATGGTCGGGCGTTCGTTGCGCTTCTTCGCTTTTTTGAGGGTGCCACTGTTTGATTGTGAAGGAAAACGATGGGCGCTTTTGGAGGTGGAAAAAGGGATATGTGCCACTGTTTGATTGTGAAGGAAAACTGACTGGTGGTTTCCATTGAAACGATGGCCACTTTTGGAGGTGGAAAAAAAGGGGACCTGGAGAGAACCCGGGGATGCCAGAAAGAAAACCAGCATCGGGGTGCCCTAAAGACCCTCATCCCGAAGCCCCGACACCCGAAACGAAACGGCCCCCCCGCGCGTCGAGCGCCACTAGTTGCCAGGCGCAAAGCCGAGCCACCTTTGGAGCTTCTCTGTAAGGCGCTTGTTGGATGAAGACATGAGGCTTACCTGCTGGGGATCCCCGAGCAAATTCAAACGGCCTTGAAGTTTTGAAACTTGAGAAGTAGAGGTAGCAAACATGCGGCCCTTGAAGCACAAGACATTTGTCGGCCTGCTGGCAAAAAGGGATGCCCACTGACCAAACAAAACCAAGTATACCTTTCGGGTCACCAATGCTTCTGACTTCCTGAGCTGATTGGCCGGAAGAAGTCTAAAATGGCTTTTCCCAAACAGTAGAAAAAGTCCAGGAACTCGAATCGAAGGGGAAGCCACCAAGAAAGGCGTCAACTTTGTGTCCGGCTGGGCGAGATGGCCCACCCGGCCTTCACGCAGCTCACCTTTTAGCTGACCGACACACTTCCAATGAGCGCGGGTGCAAAGGTTCGAGAAAATGTGCAAGCCCCCTCCCCTCCCCCCACAGAACCGTTGAATATAAGTACCCCCTGGTGCCACGTTGGGGCATTGCCTGTACGCATGTTCGGCCAAAAAAAAAAGGGCTCACCATCGCGTTTTGCGGAAGCCACAGTCAGCCGATGGGGCAGCCCGGCTCAGCCCTCCCAACGGTTTCAATGGGTCCCGGACGTTGAAAAACTCCTCCAGGGCCGAGTAGATCGGAAGATCATCTGATTCAAAGGCTGCCGTGGGTTCCAAATTGAAGGTCGGGAAACGTGCTGAAGCGAAGAAAGGCCAAGCTGCTTCCGAAACAGGGCGTCCAACTTCGGATCGTAAGGATCCCTAGATGACTGTTCCCCTTGAGACCAAACAGCCCAATCAAAAGGCAAACCCTCTGCGTTTTGTGGCCCGATATTTTTCCGCAATTTTCCACCTGTTTGCGGAAGGCCACACATAACCGTCACAGGAAGGAAAGAGACCAAGAACTTGCGAGCAGGTGATCAAAGAAGCCATAAGACTTCCATGACGTCTGAATGCAGCCATCGCTTCCATGTTTGACAAGTAGAACCAAGCCGAAAGTTCTTCCTTCATCAAATCTCAAGACGCCTTCATGGGGTTGTATAATTTGTTCAAATGGCGTGGTATCCCTGCCATGGCAAGTGGAATCACCGAGAAGCGGCACTGCTCTGGGTCCAGGTGGCACTCCCACGAAAAACTGCTGAACTCTCGGCTGAACGCGAAAGCGAAACCCGCCGAACCGGAATTGGAGAACATTGGACTGGCCATGGTCCCAGCAAGCACCCTCAAACGACCATGCCTAGGCCTAAACTCCTGAGAAGTACAATTGATAACCATACTGTGGATGGATGAATTCCACCTCAGAAACCCTGGGATGATTCGATTCCCCTGCAAATATCAACCAACGATGGTTTCAGCCATGGTTTCAAAGTGGTGCGAAATAGATTTCGCAGCCATACACCGTAGGGTTGAAGACACCCAGCAACATGGCGGTCTTTGACCGTGACATCTGAGGCTTGGGCTCTCCGTACCCTTGACCTTAGCCGGCGCCACCCCTCTGGGAAAAGCGCCAGAGACCCGCAAGGAAAGACGAAGAAAAGCCGGTGGCTCATAAGGAATTCGCCAACATGCTATCTGGGCTTGTCTCAAAATTGGGGGGGGGGGGGGCTCCCAAAATGGCGGCTTTCCGTTTGGTTTCCCTTTAAACCAAGCCCCAAAAAGGTGTATATATTATATCTCAAAAAAGGACGCACCCATTTCTTCCTTTGGTGCTCCTTTAAGACCAAACCGGATCCCCAAATCCAGCTTGAACAATGCCAACAGGGATCCCAAAGCCATGAGCCTTGTCTTTGACAATTTGTCCGCTGGTTCAAAACCCAAGGGTTGTGACACGGTGAACTGCTGTTTCATTTTTGGTCCCAGCCCTCTCTCACTCAGTAAAGCCGACAAGCAGAATGAATGGCTTGCGTGGAAGGGGTTCAGCGACTCACAGGCACCGACACTCCAGAATGCAAGCTGATTGGAGGAGGGGGGGTGTCAAGATCACTCCAAAATACAAGCTAATTAGAGCAAGGGGGAATATCAACATCAGCCCGTCAGCCTCTTTTGGGACCCCGGTTTCATTTTGGAGCACCTTGAGGGTCCAGGCGGCCCAGGATTCGTGACCAAGCAGCCCACTTACTGCACTCCACGACACAGAAATCCCTTCCGAGGGTGGTTTCAGCCCGCGGTCCCAGAACGCGCCCCAGGTGTACCACGGGACCCAGCCCAGCTCCAAGTGACTCCCAGGACACTTTTCTTGAAAGCTAACGTTGAGCCCATATTAATCAGCTCCGGTTTATTCATAGCAGGGTCTTTAGTGGGGAATCCTCACTGTTGGAGAGGAACCCCTCATGATTTTCGGTGTTTGTTTTTTTTAGGGAAGGATTCATCGGGGACCAATATTCATGCGCACGGAGCGCAGCATCCAGCACCAGGGAACCTGGCCCTAAAGCTGGCCTAGCTGCGTGCGTTTGCGATGGAGAAAAAAAAACCTTGGGCCGCACGCGGAGATCTGAACGCCGGTCAAAACGCCGTTGCAGGCGACCAGGAAGAAGGTGAAGAGCTCAAAGCTCCTGACTTGATCTCTGCCGCCAAGGCCCCCACTAGGCACATGCATTTGAACAGCCGTAAGGTTACCCAAACTGAACTACATTTGACTACATTCAAATTAACTACTTTGCAAAGCAAGTCTTTCCAAGACGATTGGTAGAGCAAAGCAAGCACGCAAGCTGAAAAAGAAAGCCACTTTTCTGACCCTCTCCAAGTTCGCTGCTGTGCCAGCCTTTTAGGCAACTCTGACCTTTCCCCCCCCCCCCCGGGCTAGGTCTCTGATTTTAATTCTGCAGCCTGGAGGTCTCCTTGGCAAGGTGGATTTGTAGCTCAGTAAAGGCGGGTTCGCCCATCAGCTTCCTCCGAGTTGGTGGTTCGGAGGTGTTCCGGGGGAGGGGTCTTCCAGGACGCCTCGGTCAGGTTCCAGTGGGAGGGTACATTCTGCCCGAAATATGAGGCACGGACCATGTACGGCAACCCCCCGATAGACCAATCACAAGCAGGTTCCCATCTTGCCGCGACAGATTCAAACCCGTCAATCTTGGCGGCGCATGAACTCCTGACCCTTTTATAAGGAAAACTTACCAAAAGCCCCTGGCAAACCAAGCGAGTTGTTGTTTTGGTGTGATCAGGGACCAACATTCATGGCTCCTCGCAAGACAACTTGCTGGCATGATGTGGTGCCAATTGGAGCAGCGGACATGCTGCAGCAATGGTGTTGCAACAGCAACGGCTGCAGCAACAGCCGTTGCTATTTGAGGAGTTAACTTAAGCAAACACACCTACCCGTCTTGGAGGAGCTTTCAGGCCGCTGGTCAATTCTTAGGCTCCCCTCCAGCCGCAATCGAAAGACAGCGCCCCGGCCAGTCATGCCAGTCTTCACCATGGCCCTCGTGTAAGGAAACCTGGCGGTCAATGGCATGAAGTGCCACTGGAGACAGCAATCCATTGCCAGTGTCTCCATTCCTCAATCCAATCTGAGACTTGACATGTCAACATCCAATCTGGGCAGTGCAGTTTTGAAAAGGTTCGCCCACAGCATCCAGACCGACCAAAGCAAAATTACAAAACTTGAAGAAATCACCGATTCAACATACCTATTGCATACGGCTATGACAGCAAGATCTGGAGGCATGATCACACCAGCCCGGCCTGTGAATGTATGTCGGCTTTCTTCTCTTGGACTTCTCCTTGTTGATGATGTCATTCAGCTTATCGAGCCTGGCACGGTGTACTTGCAGACCATGGCAGCATAACACTTGGAATGGCGCATTCAAGGACATAGCCGGACAAACATCTCACGGACCTGTTGCAATGAAACGTACCACCAAGCCGTCAGATTCCTGAAGTGACCGGTGTCGAGCACGCGCGCAACGCGGAACTCGCCATGGCCCAAAAGCCAGTGGCGAGTTAGGCGCCTCAGGGCCTTCCGGAAGAACTCCATCAGCCTGAGCTGGGAACAAAAGAAAGAGGATACTTTGTCAGACTGAAGTCTCAAGCCTGAGAAAAAAATAAAAAAGAAAAGAAAGAAAAACAACATCTTGGAGAAGGTGGTTGCGAAATCCAGCTGGGCTGTGTGTCTTCGAGCTCGAAGACCCTTTAGAACCTTCTTAGTCTGGCTCTTGCATGTTCAAAGGTCTCTCTTGGCAATCTGCCGGGCAACCAGCTTGCAAACAACAGACGCCCCCCCTTTGAATTGCGTGCTTCAAGGGCATGAACCGACATCTGGATGCCATCCCAGCTGATCCACTCTAGTGAGAGCGATTCCAATCTCTCAAATAAACAATTGCAACTCAGTGGTTGCAAACAGGCAAACATGAAGTCTCCCTAAATGGAACGAACCATCATGGAGGAAGCCTCCTGAGAAACTATGGTCAATGCAGGCCTTGTTTGAAAAGAAACCACGCCGTGGCGTGGGCCAAATAAATGTCGGACGCGTGACAAGCAGGCTCCACAAATACTGCATGGATGAGGCGGCTACTTACACCCAAGAACGCTTGTCCCAAATCTGGTGCTCCATTGAATCTTTGTAGATTCCTTGTGAGCCCTTTGCCGGGCCCCATCGCCCTAGGGGTTATCATGAGGCGCGTGTCCAACTGCAGCCGGATGGCCAGAAACCCTTTTTGGCTTTCAAAGCTTCCTCGATGATTTGCTCGTTGGTCTTGTGGTCAGCGCCCGCTAGCACCTTAGGCCGTGCTTCGAACATGACATCAGCCAATGGCCAAAATGTCACGGGGTAGACAGTGGCATGAAACACAGGCCGGACGCCTAAAGCAGTGCTGCTCCAGCAAAGGTGCTCAGGAAACGCCAGACTGCTGACAGTTCCTGAAACGTGACTTGACTGAACCATGCTTGGCTTTCCACCCCTAAGCAACCGTTGACCGTTTGCAGTGTAGATAAAGTTGTAACCGTTTAGTTGTAACCGCTTGCAGTCTAGGTCCCCTGGAAAAAAATACATGTGATAGGTTCCCAGAAATACCAACAGGGGAAAATTAGAAAATATTCATTTTAGCAAATGGAAGCATCATTTCGTTGCGATTGAAACGAGGCAAGTTGTCTTTCTCTCTCCAGGTCTCTGGCTGCCAAGCCGTTCGCATGCGCCCGCACCAAAAAAATCCGTGGCTCTAAGGCAAACAAAGCCCACGAAACGAACATCGCTACTCCAACTCCACGCCTGCCTGCAAGCAACCTAAACCCGCCAAGGAGCAATCAACTCTTGCGAGGGACGATTCAGAAAAAAAGGCATCCGTGAATTTGGGGGGTTTCTCTAAAAACAAGGTGTTTTTAATTGTGTTAAATAAAATTGCTGGGATCCTTTTGCCAGCTTCTGACGACAACCCAAAGCAGGTCCGCCTTCTTGTGAACTCCTAAATGGCAATAATTACTTTCCGTACTTTTCCTCGGGAACCACCTCAAAACTGGCTGGTACAGGGCCGGGGCCCTTCACCCAAAAAGTCTAAAGCCTCATGAACTCAGGGAGTGAGTCAAACCAGCAGCCCATTTCGCACCATTCAACCCCACCCCCCCTCCTGATTTCTGATTCGACCCTTGTTTCATCTTGCTGGTGCTCAGCAGCCAAAACGACCAACTCCAGAAACCCATACCCAAAGCCACCCCAAAAAACTTCCGCGCCGCCCTTCAAGCCAAGTTCGGCGCCGCGCTGGAGATCTTCGGCTTCTTCTCGGAGTCCTGAAGTCCACGGGTACCAAGTCACGCCCATAGGCCCATGAGCGCCATCTCACAGTGTGCTTCTATTGGCTTCCCTTCTATTGGCTTTTGGGAAATGCTGGTGCGAAATCGGTAGGGAATGTGGGAAGGAAGCAGAAGGGGGTCGCGCAAGAAAGACACAAAAAAACCAGCCAAACAACCCCGTTTTGTTTTGAAAGTACCCTCCCAAAAAAGGAGGAACCAAGGTCACCAGGGGTCTGGGAAGCAGGTTCACCCCAAACCGACGCCGATGGGTGTGTCAAATTGTCCTTCAAATCCAAATTTCTTAACAAACAGGAATGCGTGAATCAGCACATTACGGGAAACACCACAATGTGACAATGCGTGATTTCTGTTTGACAGGCGCCTCCCCTGGATGCTATAATGTGATTGGAACATGAAAACCCCATGCCCAGCTGTTGCCATACACCTTGTCCGCCCAGCCCCTGGAGCCTGCTGCCATGCCCGCCTCTTGCTGATGCATCTTGCCTCTTGTTCTCAGGCGGCGCGCTTCATCCGCAGAGATGGCGCCGCGATCCTCTAGCTCCTTCGCATGTTCAGCGGCAAAACCCCACACGATCCCACACGGGCCTGTTGACGGGTTGGTCAATCCTAAGGATTGAGGATTACCTTTCAGTAGCCCCTTCACACATAACGCTGACAACTATGGTGGCTGCAAAGTGCGATTCACACCAAACGGTTCACGTCAAGCTGGCACACGAAGCCCTGTAATGCCCTGTGGCAGCAATCCGGGGCCCAACAAGAAGAAGATAGTGCTACTTAGTTTCCCTGTGCAGCAGCCCCTACTGACACTACCCTCAAAGACACACGCAAATGCTAGCTTTGGCCCGCCGATTGGCCTCGCTCGGATTATCTCCTTGATGTGCTCTTCGCTTTCCTCGAACTTTTGGTAGGCTTCTTCCACCTGACAAACCCGATTATGAAGGGTGGGCATCAACACGTGGCTGTGCCAGGGTGGCAGTGATAGCAATGAACCCACGCTGAATAAGCGCCCATGAATCCGGGCCGTCGCCAAGATTTCCAATCTTTGCACCCTTTCGAGGATAAGCAGCAAAACACAAATACAGGTAGCATTTGAGAGAAGGCTTGCAATGAGCTGGGCCTAAACTTGCAGCGGTTCAGGAGGGCTTGCCTCTTGTTGTTGTCTGTTTTTTTCCCTGAGCCTTTGAGGTTTGGGCTTCTTGCACAACCAGGCGTGCTGGTGAACAATGCGTGGTCACTGCAATTCAGGACTGCGCCAACCTGGCGCGGTCAGCTAGGGTCTGGGGTCTGGGAGTGTTTCTGTGCATGCAGTACATCCAGGCAAAATGCCTTGTGCCGTGTCTTGCTCCAGCTTCGCCCCGCGCAGTGGAAGAGTGGATCAAAGAGTGTGTGCTGCGGCATGGGTGCCTTCTCCGTGTTGCACTCTGTTGTTGCAGTCGCTCCACATATAGCTGTGAGGCTGTGAGCAAACAATAACCTGATTTTTGTGCTTATGTGTAGCAAACATTCACAAGTCTTGGTACCAACATGACACAACCCTTTTTGATAAATCATTGCCTTTGCGGCACAAAAAAAAAAGAAGAAAAAAAACAATATCACAAACTTATCACAAGTACCACAGACTTCGCGAAACACGGAAGCCTACCGGCTGGAGAGTTGTGAGCTGACCAGCCGCAAATTTGGCTTTCAGGGACATTGTAAAATGCAAAGTCCAAGCGGTTCACAGATTTGGAAGCCCATCTTTGAGGCATCGGAATTCTACGCTGCCTTCAAGTCATGCGGCATTTCTGCCTCCCCAGAAGCAAGCCTCAGTGATGCGAAAACTGCCATATTCTTGGCGGTGCCCACGTAACCAAAACGAAACCGGGCTCAGAAGCAATGCTGACGCATGTTCCTCACCCATGCACAATGCAGCTTGAATAGAACATTCTGGAGCATGCGAGCCTGGTGCGTTCTATGGACGTTTCCCGAGTGCATTGAGGCAGAAAACCCGCGCCTCTCTCGCTTCCATTCGCTCCTTCGCGCACACGCTCTCGGACACCATCACCTGTCAACTGTGAACTCCGAGATGTGCCGCAAATTCTGCCCGCCTATGATGCTACCAATGGGATGCGTCCATACTTCCCGTGTGCTCGTGCTGCGCCCGCTCAGCCTTTGGCCCAAATTGTTTTGCTTTTTAAACCGGGGCTACTGCGCCCCAATGCAGAAAGCAGCAACATTGCAAATGCATGCCTCGATGGTGCCCTGGGCGAGATCACGCGATGCGTCCGCCATGGCTGCCGGAAATGATGCGGCTGCTGCAGGCAAAGGCCACTGGCCGCCAGCCGGCGAGAAACAAGGCGGCCTGCACGGCTTTGCATTTGCTTGGCGCTATGATATAGTCCATAGGGTAGAAGAAGGAAAAACAATCATATGCCAAGCAAGCACGTAATGACTACATGTGCACAAACATACTGTCACAACTACCGTGTCAGCTTGTCTCCCTTCGCTAACTACGTACTATTGTCGAGCCATTCAGCGCAAGGAACGCAACTCAAACATGCGCCAAACTTGCAACTTGCTGGTTTGGCGGCACGAAATCTGATCAGAAAAGGGCGAGATGTTGTCTTTTGGGTCATGCAAACACTAGTGTCAGAACACACGTCGCTGGTGATGTTGCAGGCTAGCCCTGCTGCGGCAAACCGACGGCCAAATACACACCAACCCCAGACGCAGCCAACACTACTTGCTCACAGCGTGGCATACAAACAAAAAACACACAGGTCTTAGACCTGTTGTTCCCACGCACACGCACGTTTTTCCCCGCACGAAGCCTTCGGTACCCCAAAACCTCCCCAACAACGGACGTCGCCAAACTCCGGCCCAAAATCCACGGCAGGCCGCACGGGCGAGAGCCAAGCGCCGCCCAACAAGAGCGCGTTGAAGGGCCACGCCACGGAGGCCACACCACCGTCGCCGCCACGCAACGGCAGCAGAGCGGCACTACACGAGCCTCCGCGCCCGCGAGCCCAAGCCAATGGGGGGGGGGCGTGGCGGGCAAGAAGAGGAAACGCAGCAACAGCCTAGAGCGTCGAGTGCCCAGCCCGCAGCTCGGCAGCGCAATGGGGGCGCGGAGGGACCGGACATGCAGCAAGCGGCGAACGAACCGAGGACGACTACAAGGTAGCGCGCCTTTGTGCGCCGGCGCGCCCTTCAAGCTCAGCAGGCCCACGATGAAGGGCAGGTATGCAGGGGACCGCGGGCGTGCCTGCTTGCGCGCGGCGCTCTGCACAAGGAGCACACCCAAAGCCAATCAAACCAAGACTGCGTCCCCGGCATCCCCTCGAAGCCCTAGAAAAACCGTGGAAAAATGTAGATAAACAGCACTGTTTTCCGCACAGTGGAAAACGGTCTCGTTTTTGCAGAAGCCCCGCTCCTTGATGCCAAGACGGGCAATATCCCAGCCGCGTCGCACAGCCGCTTCGCGGAGGCAGGGCGCGGCTGCCTCATCCTCAGCTAACCGCTCCCGCACGCGCTCTGCAGCCTCGGGCCGGCGACACACCATCATGGGGAGGCAGTCAGCCCACGCCGCAATAAGCTGAAGCAGCGTGCAAAATGGCCTGGCAGTGGACGGCAGTTGCGCATCGGAGGCTTCGACGCGCCAAACCTGCCCAAAATGATCGTGCGCTTCCCTGCGCAGCTTGGAGTGCCCGCTTTGAAGTAGGCAAGGGTAGCTGGATCCCCAGACAAGAAAAGATGTCTAGCTGGTGGCTGCCGCCACCCAAAGGTGCCGCCGGCGCTTGATGCAGCATCGGGTGTTCATGTGTCAGACACTCACTGCGCCGCAAGCAAGTCCATTCAGGTTGCCCTTCTGCCGTGGTTCGGCCGGCCCACGTCATCAAACGTGTTGGCAAAACAAGCCATGCCCGTGCTGGGGCGGGAACCATCCAGTCACAGCAGCTTCGGGCCCACAGCCTCACCGACCGGCACCCAGGCCCGCTCGACGATCTTGGCGCACCGGAGCAACGAGTTCAAAGATGGCGGCAAGTGGGGGCGCAGTCAGTTTTTTTCAGTCGCCCAGCCTTCCAGCCTATTTTCTCCCAACCTCCAACAACATGGCTTCGCTGGACGGCATTGGCGCATTTGATCTTGTCAGTCGGAATCCTACGTTTGCTGCTGTGCGCGAGGTGCCCAATGCCAACGCCGTCCCGCCTTTCGTGGGTCGATGACTTAATTGTTCTGCACCTCATCGAGCAGGCCGAGGGGGGCGAACAGGGGGACCGTTAATGCCAACGTTTTTTGCTGTTGGTTTTGGCGCAGCCCTGTAAGAGCTCCAGCAGGAACTCCGCCCCAACAAAAGGATCGGTGCCTTCCTGGACGATGCGCGAACCCACGAGGTTGATCATGGGTGGGAGAGGGGGGGGGGGTAGAATGCCAGTCTGCAGTGCATATATGTGTTCTTTGCTTGCAGGATGTCACAGGCACAGGTGTGGGGAGGGGTTGCGCTTGTCTCCGGCATTGCCTGGGAAGCAAGGACAACTCCCCCCCTTGCAGAGATTGGGGCGTGGGCTTGAAGCATGACGATGATGTGGATACAATTGGCCGTTGAGGCTTCGAAGACACTGAAGCCTGGCCATCAAGCAGCGGCCTTTGCAGCCGCATTTCCCAGTGAGCCAAACTGTGAACCAACCGGCATATAACAACAGGAGCTCAAATCCTACATGGTCGCGTGCCAAAGAGCAAACCTAAGAAATTGCGACAAACTTCGACAATGCTCGTGCCTTTTTCCTCCAATGGAGCGGACGAGGGGGAATCACAGGTCACAATTTTCTGTCATGTTGCAGAGGCACATCTCAAACGGTCAGCACGTGTGCACACACACATGCATACACACTTCACCCATCGGGGGTCACTCCTCTTTGCCTCCAAGCCGAAAAAGTGGCCGAGACATTCTCAGCAAACATTCATGGAGGTCCTTCACATGGACCGACCGCCGAGACACCCCCTCGCCAAAAGACTCTATAGGATCCCCCGAGAGGGGTTGTCAGCCACATTGGCTTCTGTAGGCACACGGGCAAACCAAGAACCAACGTTCAGGGTGTCGCCCAACCGAAGTGTCGCCGTCAAAATAGCACGAGCCGACACGGCCCGAGTGCGGCAAGAAATGAGACTGTCCCTCACACCATTGTCGTCCACAAAGCAAACAAGCTAACACCCTTGAAGATCATCTTGCCAAACGGTCAAACCTGCAAAGACGGCCAAGATTTCCAGGTCATAGATGGCATGACCTTCGGCCAAGCCAAAGAGCACCAAGTCGGCCAACGTCAATCGGCAGGAAAATATTCGAATTCACAGCGTGTCTCATCAACAAGGACACCTCCGATGCCACCGGCCTTTTCGCCCTGATCAGCGCCTTCAGCACACGCATCTGTGTACATGAACCACGTGCGCACGTTGCAAATATCCAGCACCTTGGGTTGGTGGGACTGAAAAGCAAACAGGAAATTTCCAATCGCCTCCAAACTGGTCTGAGAGAGCTTGCAGCTAGGTCCATAAGCCTGGTCAGTGATCGCTGCAAACATTAGCGGGCTGAGCGGCCGAAAAAGCAAGAACCAGCGAACTGCGTGCGGCCTCTCAGCCTCAATGCCTGTGCTTGTCTGAGGTCTTTACGCGTCGCAATCGAAGTGAGTTCAGCCTTCAGCTCCTCAAGTCTCTTGATCGTGTTCTCAAAGGATAATAAGCAGCGCTCGGAATCCCTTAGCGAGACCACGATGCCCAAGCACTCAAAAACGGCCGCAAAGTCCAGAGATTTGGAATCATCCGCAGACAGCTGCCAGCCCAGCAGCATGGCATCAGTAGAGGCTGCAAGGCCTTCCGTTGAGATGCAAATCAAATCATCAAAGAAGGCACAACACAAGAGACTCAAGGAAACCGAGCCCAACCACTGCAAGGCCAACGATTGACGCAGAAACAAATGCACACTTCTGATGGCACCGAAAGGCAGAGCCCTCATCTGGAACAACACAGGTTTCTGACTGTGAGGCGAGCACACCGCAATGTAACTGAAGTCTGCACCGCCATCTGTCTGTAAGCTCTGCGAAGGTCATCAATTCTCCCAACCATTCTTTTGCCGCGTCCGGCTGCACGAAGGAAAGCAGCGATCATTGCAGACACCACCATCACAGCTTTGTTTATCATGGACTGGGTGTAATCATCAATCGGGCGTATTTTTCCACCTTGGCGTATGCCAAAGTGCCGGGACACAACTGCACCTGAAGACAAGCTCTCTCCGGCGATGGGGCCGTCAGCAGGCCGTCACCTACCTCTTCCATCGTCTTGCCTCAAGCTGAGGCATCAATATCAGCATCTCCAGACGACCGCACAGTTTTCAAAACCATGCGTCTGATGCCAGGAGCGCTCTGTCTAAGTTGGCCTCAACTGTGGATGCCTATGCGTCATTGGGACACTCCCCACAAGTCTGGTACCCTCAATCAATTCATTCCTCTGCGGCACCATCATCGCTGAATCCTGCATCAAGAAGAATCTTCTGATACAGCAAGAGGCGCTTAGAGGCAAGCACACGGGCCACGTGAGGATCCAAATCATCTTTGAGTTGTTTTCTTAAGCATCCAAAGACTTGGCAATCCCAATCCAGCCTTTTTAAACAGTTTGCACGGCACTCGCATATCTCGGAGAGGGATGAGAAGAGGATGCATGAAAGACGGAAGATGAATGGTGGGTATCCAGGTTCACAGGATGGCCCGCCTTGCACGCCGCACTGATGAACAGTTGGGTATGCCCATTGAAAATTTCGGCCTTTGCACCTGAGGCGCCTTGAGCACAATGCTGTGTGATTGTAGTTGAAGCAAATTCTCTTGCCAGTGTCGAACCCACGCATCCAGAAGATCTCAACTCCGCCGGGAGCAAAGCAACTGATGAGGCACTTCGGCAATTGCAGGTAACGGCATCAAGCAAAAAGAAACGTCAAATGAATGCAGCGCCTCGGTCAACTTGCCATCGATTGCCTGAGTTGTATCAGGAAGCCTCCTGACTTTCACACCGTTGTCAACGAGGTACTGAAAGACTGCACGGCTGGCACGGAGCATCTGAGCCAACGTGCAGCGGGCATAGCCTGGCGGAGGGACACGATGCAAGTGTCCGAAAAGCTCGGTACGGTATCTGTCGTGCGTGATATACGTGCAAATGTCGGCAGATTGAAGCGCCAACCCACGTCGACGCAGTGCATCGTATACCTGAAGCTCAGTATTGCCGCTCTGGATGACCATCTTATTTAT